TTTTTGTGCTATTTACATATAGACCGATAGAGGGACAACCAGATTTCTTTAAAAAGCGTTTTTTTCACTTTAGGTATTTGGGTATTTTTGTTCCTAAAAACACTGCAACGTTAGTACCCACATAGTTGAATGAACATTTCAAAGATTTTACGTTTGAAACGTGTATGTTTTGACAAAATAACTAAAAGCTGATCTTATCAAAGCACATACAAGCGTGTTCATTCACTACACAAAGAAGAAAATTGGTAACACTGCAAAAGGAGCCAAGCTTTTCTTTTTGTTTTTACTACGGTTTATGAGGTGAAAACAAGCATAGTGAAGTTCTTAATCAAGAACTTCACACGTGAAGAATAAGAGGCACGCTACCCGATTGTACACGTGCCTAAATATGATTAGATACGGATCAAATAATATGATATTGTGTCGAGACTGCTCACATTTTCGGAATTTACGCTACCACAAAGAGTGTTTTGACTAGAGGTATAACAGGTATACAGATATTGGTACACAGAGATTGGATATTGCTACAGCATAGACCAGACTAGTTCTGAACTGGCCATCTCTAGAAGCATTTTGTTTTTAAAAAAAGTGCTTGCTGTCCGAGTCAGGGATGGTATTAGATATACCAGAGTCATTCACTGCGTACCTGTTTACGAAGCTTCTCCATAACGCTATGGGAGAGCTTGGTACGCGGCCACGGGTGGCACTAGCGTCGACCAGGGGGCTAAGAGCCGATAATCAAGCTAGTACCACTAGGAGTATTGCAAGCAGAAAGTTGGATCGTAATTTCGAACCCACTTTAAATGTGCCACCAATATCTCGCGGTGACGCGTCATCGCACTGGCAGCGTTTCTTGCGAATGTAAGCGTCTTCACCTCTGCACTCTCAGTCAACTGTTCAAACTTTTTTTTTTTTTTGCAACATTCTCCAAATTATTATTATTCTTAATTCCTTCTTTTTGCCTCAAAAAAATTCTTTATACCGATATTACCGTCAAAATTCAGCTCCGCGAGCAGCGCCATCAATAGAGGCGATGCAAACTCATAACTCGCTCTTTTTTGCCTGCTAAGCATCGTTTTGTTTAAGAACCAATGAAATAACAAACGTATAACTTACTTTATTAGAGACCAGTACAGAGTGATTGGTGTTTGCATACAGTGATCAACTACAGACGTAACAAAATTTCGGTGTACGAGAAATTGTTTTTTATCCACTTGTCATCGCGAATTTGTGGTAGCTCACTGAGAGTGGGTCACCAAACAAAAATGATCGCTATGGTACCGTACCACTCCGACGGAACTCTGGTCGAAGTTTGAAGGACTCTGGCTGTACTTCTGACTAAGAGTCCCGAACTCCTCTCAGAGCTGCGTTTCCAGGTGTTTTTCTTTGTGGAACATCTGCTTGATGCTTTCACTTGCCCTCGAGGTTTCCAGAAAGCTCCGTCTTGAATTTTTTTTATTTTTTTATTTTAATACTTTCAGGGCCGTCGTCATTATAGAGAAAAATAAGTCTATCAGAAGAAAAAAAGTAACGTTACACTTATTTTATGGTGATTCAAAACACAAAGGGTGTCAACAGAGTCTTTGAACACTTTACTATTAACTGTAGAGATGATAGAAGCCGGAAGGTGGTTACATTCAAGATTATATTCCGGGAGCGAATGGCCGGTGAAATGCACTGGTGAAAAATCATTGGCTTAAGTACGCGTTAGTATAATTTATCTCGTGAAAAAAAAAAAGAACATAAACGAGCAGTTTTACGGCGAAAGAGAGGTTAGGCAGATATAGATGTGCTTCCATTGATGTGACGCTTGCGGTTCAATGGATATATAATTACCTTTGATGTCATCCACTAGATACTCACCTAGCTTCACTGTGAATAGTTCACTTGGCCACCAGAGGGTTATTAGTTGGTAAACGTTTTGTTGACGTGCGTATAAAATTATATTCGCTCAATTAGCTTTTGCTGAATGCTAATATACGTATGTTAAAAAAAGTTAATTTTACTGACTCTGAAAATAATAAACCCAACTTATTCAGCGGACCTCCTGTACGTCACAATGTCTCTTCAATACTGAACTTACAATGAAAGGACACGTTGTAATCGAAATATAGAGTTCAAATATGTTGACTTACTCTTAATTTTTCCTAAAGTTTTAGAAAAACCGGCTTTTTGAATTCTTTCTGAAAACGCTTCCTTCCCAATAATCTATCAAATAAAATCTCTTTCACTAACTTCTCGTCTATGCCAATAAAATAACACGACATAAGACCGCCCTCAAACACACACACAGAAACACACATTTCCCCTGGGGACTCCACGAAAAGCAAGTACAAAATGCCCCCCTAAAAAAAAACTAAAAAAAAACTTTAATTAATTGCAAAATAAACTATGCATCACTGAACGCTCATTCTTCGCCCAACTGTAGCGCTAGAGGTCGGCACCAGATGCTACATATTCAGCACCAACCGTTACCTTAGGCAAAAATATAAGCGATTTCCTAAATTTTTTAGAATGGGAAAATGGCGGTCAATGGACCTGTATTACACGCGGCTCTATGGCGTCAGTTAGCGAAAACAGGCAAAAATGGGACCCATTTTCCCATTGAAAATTTCAGAAAATCACTCGTAACTTTCGAATAAGGTAACGCTTAGTTCGGAAACTTTCGCATCTGGTACGGACCGCTAGGGCGACATTTGGACGGAGAATAAGCTTTCGGTGATGCAGTTTATTTAAAAAAAAAAAAAAGAAATATTTTTTTTTTTTTTTGGGGGGGGGGGGTAGGGGGGGGGGGGGGGGGCATCCTGTACACTCGGCTCATATCTGCGTTGTGACTGGTGCGTGCGCTAATCGACAGGTGTCGCCCATGAACCAGAGCAAAGACCAACGATATATATTAACTGCAAACATTTCGCAAACAATAATATACGAAACATTTTGGAAAACCAAATTGAAGGCGGAAAAAAAAATAAAAAGAAAGCAAGCTTCCAGATGGCACGAAATACCTATGGGAGCGCTAGTTCATCTTCTTCTTTTGCAGAAGTTATGAGGACGTCATAAAAGCCCAGATTTAAAAGGCTCTGATTGAAGGATAGGGGGTAGACCTCAAGGTAGCGTGCTTTGAGGTCTACCCACTATCCTTCAATCAGAGCCAATCAGAGCTCGACGTTCTGACGTCACCACAACGCCTGCAAAAGAAGCAGACGAACTTGCGCTCCGCATAGGAATAGAACCTCTCGGGGACGGCAATCGTTGCAGTGCTCATGCTAAACAAAATCTGACAGAGAAAGGCGAAAAAGGTGCTGGGGACCCCTTATAAGCGACCCTTTTCAAAAGTCAATCGAGAAATATTGATGATCGCCATTTCATGGTGATATCCCAAACTGCCTGGTAATAGTGGAAGAAAACGGGCTTACAAAGCCGGGAGGAATCATATGTCTGTCTTTTTAGACTTAGGCTAGGTGGCGCAACCTGCCGCCCGTTACAGAGGGTATAGCCATTTACATCCATCCATCCATCCTTGAGCACAAAATACGTGATTAGATCCGAGTATCTGCCGAACGCTGACGCAGCACTCGTTTTCAATACGAGCTGAGCCAGGCTCGTGTAGAACGCTGACACATTTTTCGTGTCCAATACTTGTTCAGAGTAATAGCGAGTTCGTTTCACGGCACTCGTGCCCACGCGTGCCCACTCGCAGCGTGGAACGGGTTCGTTTCAACCGGCACTCCACGAGTGGTTGCACTCTCCGAGTTCATTTCAGCGCTGACACCCCACGCGTGCATGCACTCGCTGCACCGAGAAAATCGGGAGTGCGCCAAAATGCAATCCCGTCATGCCTCGCTGCGGTGGGGCCGGCGAGGAGCGGGAGCAGACGACGAGGGTTCGTCTGCTACAATGTGTCGCGAAACCGAACGGAAAAAAAAAAAAAAAAAAAGTATATTTTCTGATAGAAATCGCGTCCCGCGGGCAACGAAATCAAACGCGAGCTTGAACTGTGAGCGTCTGCTATTTCACGAAGGAAGCAATTGACAACCCGTGATTTATTTGCAGGTTTTAAATCGCTCTGCTGCCGCACAAACGCTGAAATATACCAGTGTGTAAAGAAATGCTCAGAACAAACGCAACAGCGGCCCCCGAGATGTCTATCACCATACCGACGCCCTCACCAAGGCTAATTAATATCTTATCCACCTATAATGACGATCCAAATCGAAAGTCCCAGTTTTGCTGGATATTCCAACAGGCTAGTTTTAAGCCGTACCCTTTCAGTGGTTCACGAATAATACCAGGCTCAAACGGATCAAGCTTCTGCTCGGACAGCATCATCAGTTCTCTTCAGTGTAAACGGTTATAAGAATTGAAAGATCGCAACCAGCTGCTTTGTAGACAGCTGGTTGCGGAAATTTACGCCGTCTGTAATTATCTCTACGGCAGCCTAGCTGCTTGAAGTCATCGCAACTATAAACTACAGGTTGCAGCGACCAACGTTCGTAGATAAACGTTGGTAGCGACTGCATTCTCGCATCACTCCGAACAGAAAGGCGCTAGTTTCGGTTTGAAGTCGGTACCTTTTCTACAACATAGATGGCGGCAGCGGCAGTATTCTGCACTCGGTGCGTTTGGCGAGTTCGTTTGAGTCCAGTTTTCCGTGCAACACTCTGTGAGTGCGACGCATTCTGGGAGAGAACTCGAACGGTGCCAGTGCGTGTGAAACGAACTCGCTATAAGTGAGCAAGCAATGGCGGACAAGCATGGCGCGGAATTTTGAAAAGGGTCTATTCAAAAGGAAAGCAGAAGCAAGACGAAGAGGGTCCGCTCGCTCGCCGCGACAGCAGCGAAATGCCTTTTTTGACGAAAGCGGGGGCAAATGAGCTTTGATGCATGCCCCCGGCGGCTCGTAAAAACAAAAAAAAAAAAATAAAACGACATAACAGACAAAGATTGGTCCGTGCATAGGTCACTATGCTGCATACATTTTCGTAGAACTACGGCCTCACCTGAATAAACGTTCACAGACTCCTGCCACATGAGGATGTCGGGTACGCAAGAAGCGAATACCCGTGGCTCAGAGTCCGATATAGGAAAATCTGCAGCCGCCCGCGTTGCTATCTCCGAGGCAGATATGTGGAATTTCCTGTGACTGTTTTTAATGCTTCGCCGAGTCGCACGAGAGTCGCGTGAACTGCACGTTCCGCAGAGCAGGCAAGCTTGGCCGCTCGGACGCTGTCGAGAGCGATGAGCGAAGATCGTAAAATCGCGGCTGCCTGAGCGGTGTCTATCGCCATTTCAATCAAACAGGAGCGCGTCGCGTTGATGCGAGCAAGCGAGCAAGCAAGAAAGGACGCGCGGGTCCCGGCAGCAGCGACATCAAGAAGCGCGCCGATGCAATTCCGTCGGCGCTCCGGTGTTATCTGTGTGACGTCAGTTCCATGACAAAGTTTTCGTGACATCGATTTCTAAACTTTGCACCCCCATCCAAGCGCGGCGAAAGACGTAGTTCTACGTCAAAAGAGCACGTATTGTCGGCAACAGGCGGCAAAATACGTAGTCGCCACCAGACGCGACCGAGAAGGCGAGGAAGCTTCAGCGACCGACGACCGCGGACTCAGGGGCGCCTGCCCGGGTTACCGAGCGCCAGCCCGGCTCCACTGTAGCTGTCTGCTTGGGTGTTGTCTCAATTTAACGAGGGGGTGATGAGGAGGGCAAGGGGGGGGGGGGGGGGCGTCTTTTCTTTTCGTTTTGTATTAGGAGACAGCAAAACCAGCATGAATCAACCCAAGTGTTTTTCTTGTTTAAACAATCCATCTTTATGTCTTTTTCTGTCTTTCTGTCTTTAAACTCTCACTGTCTTCGTACCTTTCGACTTCGACAATCGAGACACGAAGGCGTAAAATGGGACCTCACATGATGCATGTAAATACTGTTCCAGCAATATCACAAACAAAACGATAGTAATTGCTACTTTAGTTCTAAGACGGAGTTTGTGATCAAAACCGACAAGAGGAAAAAACTAATTATATTTTTTAGAGCGCAGCTCTTAGGCGCCCGTTTCCGGCTTGAGCGGCGTCGCCGTCGGCGTAACCGCGCGGTGCATTATGGGTAATTTTTTCCGAAGGGACCCGAGGTCCTCCCGAAGGAACCCGAGGTTGTCCCGAAGAAACCCGAGGTCCTTCGGGAGGACCTCGGGAGGACCTCGGGTTTCTTCGGTAGGACCTCGGGTTCCTTCGGAAGAACCTCGGGTTCCTTCAGGATTTGCATGCAACCTGTTGCATGTAGCTGGCATGCAACCTGGGTTGCATGCAACCTGTTGCATGCAGCTGGCATGCAACAAGGGTTGCATGCAACTTGTTGCATGTAGCTGGCATGTAGCCTGGGCTGCATGCAACCTGTTGCACGCAATCCAGGTTGCATGCAACCTGGTGACGTTATCGGCATCCGCATCGTCATCGTCATCTTTACTGATGACGTCATCAGTGACATCACTGATGACGTCATCGGTATCCGCATCATCATTGTCATCATCACTGATACGTCATCAGTGACGTCACTGACGTCACTGATGACGTCATTGGCATCCGCATCGTCATCGTCACTGATGACGTCCTCAGTGACGTCACTGATGACGTCATCGGATCGTCATCGTCAAGGTCACGTGACCCTTCGAGATCACGTGACCCCCCCTTCAGTACCCTTCCCTCCTCCTCCTCAAGAGCTGCGCTCTAATTCGGAGTTACAGGAAGTTGTAAACGGCTTTCATTTTAGAGCGCAGGTCTTAGGGGCCCGTTCCCGGCTTGAGCGGCGTCGGCGTCGCCGTCGGCGTCGGCGTAACCAAGTTCACCCCAAGGTCACGCGGCCCCCCCGTCATCCCAGGGTCACGTGACTTCCAAGGTCACCCCAAAGTAACGTGGCCCCCCGAAGTCACGTGACCCCCCTCGCGAAGTCACGTGACACCCCCCCCCCTCGAGGTCACGTGACCACACCCCAGGGTCACGTGACCCCCCGCCGAGGTCGCGTGACCTCCCCGATGACGTCACCGTCATTGATGACGTCACCGGCATCCGCATCGTCATCACTGATGACGTCATCAGTGACGTCACTGATGACGTCACCGACATCCGCATCGTCATCATCGCTGATGACGTCATCGGAGTCCGCATCGTCATCGTCACTGATGACGTCATCAGTGACGTCACTGATGACATCATCGGCATTGTCACGTGACCCCCAAGGTCACGTGACCCCCCAGGTCACTTCACCCCCCCCCAGTACCCTTCCCTCCTCCTCCTCAAGAGCTGCGCTCTAATTCGGTGTTACAGGGAGTTGTATACGGCTTTCACTTTTTTTGCCCACCTCTTTGTAATGCTTCGTGACCTTGAGGGTAAGTAAACAAATAAATAGATGCGTCTTTTCCAGGGAGGGGGGGGGGGGGGGTATGTGGCTCGTCAGCCCCCCCCCCTATCCCCCTGTGAAATTGAAAACGTTCCGCCCATGCCTCCGACCATACCCCCCACCCCCCCCCCCCCCTTCCTAAAAAAATGTAGTGCAGCTATTGTGAATTACCTTATCTCCTTGCAATTCACGAAGGGGAAGAGAGAAAAGGAAAACGTTAACGCCTTTAACAGCATGTTCACACATACAGCACATCGCGCTAGCTCAGCGACATAGCGCTACCTTTAAGCTGCATCAGCGTTGTATCGGCGCTCCGCTGCAGGTGACCCTGCCTTTTCCTGTTCCCTCGGACAAACACGCACAATGCAGCGCTAACTCAGCGTTGAGTAAGCGCTGACAGAGATGGAGCGCTGACTTGGCGATTTAGCAGCGCTGGGATATGTTATGCCCTATGCACACGGCCAGCATAAAGGTACCTTTAACATGGGTACTTTAAGCAATCGATGAGTCACGTCACGCGCGGAGGATCGCTAACCAATTCGTCCCGAACTGTAAAGGTCCCTCAGCGAAAGAAATTTCCAATCGAGTGAATGGGGTATATAGACCTGCGGGACATTCTAATCCAGTGACGATTTCTTGAAAGAGGAGAGGAAGGAATCGAACCCCCTCTCCCCCTTTCGCCCCCCTCCCTCCCAGCCCACAAAGGTGACTTTTTCTTATGGAGAAAAGTGCACTTGACAGTTTTTCTTCTGAAGAAAAATGCATCATTCTTGGTGAAATGTCAATTATCTTCATCCGTGACATTACGTCCGTCCGTGACGTCACATCCGTTCGTGTCATGAAAGTTTTCCGTAAAGTTACGCCCCCCCCCCCCCCCCCCCCCCCCCCAAGAACTGGCCCATAAATTCCGATCTCGTCTTGTAGGACCTCCTGGGTGCCGGCGTTGCGGTCCAGCGAGTGGGAGACTTGATCCGGGACTGCAACTATTACCGCTTCCAGCCCAACTGGGCAAACTACAGACGGCTCTGCGATCCGGTCTGGAGAGGCGTGCTGGACATCGAGGACTACACCTCGGAGCGACTGCCCTTCATCGTCAGCAGCGCCGCATTGGACACGCCGGCGTACCAGTATGAGCTGCTGAAGAAGAAGAAGTAGCCTCGGAGCTACACCGCACCGTAGGCTACGAGCCTAAGCGCCTTTCGTCGCGTTAGTGGCCCGCATGTCAAGAAGAGTCGGCCTACTCGTGCTTTCCTATGCCTGCGTCTGAGTGATTGACCGCGTTGCAACTGCAACCACATACAACGAGAGAACACGCTGATGCCATCTACCGGGTGGCCCTGGAACAATTCCGATCTGCAAATATTTTACGCATCATCGTTTCCCTTCTGCTTCCAATTAACCTGAAAATTATATAAGGGACTATTTTTCGTACATACAGTGCCTAGACTGGATCTGGGAAATACTGGGAAAACTTCAGTCCATGTCTCCGAACGCAGATCAGGCGCGTTCCAGGACTGACGATAGATGGCGTCAGTGTGTTCTGTCGCCTTAAGCGGCCGCAATCGGTTGCAACGCAGTCGATCGCACACACACACACACGTCAGTGTGTGAATCAGCCTTTACGACATACCGCAACGGTGGTTACGAGCCACGTTTGCCAACCCAGCGTTCCAGGCATGCCATCGCGGTCGGCGCGTCGCTCCGCCCAATTCGGAGGTCACGTGATACGTCCCGAGATATAGATTGACTCCGGTGGCTCGTGGCGTCCCTTGCGGTACATCGGAAGATAAAACGGAGTGCAGGCCTACATTATTCGAAAGATTTGTATGGTGCAGGATTGAAGACATTAAGGCAATATGAGCCAAGCAAACGAGATATTTTGGGATGTATCATATCATACATTTTATTCGTGATATTTTCTTTCCGATGGATCTTCACTAACACCGATGCATACTGGTCGAACTAGGAGGTAAGCCAATATGCCTTGATTCAATGTTTTTTGTTTTGTTTTTTTCACTTAGAGATATCGAATTGAAACGGCTTCAATGTCCTCCTGTTTCGGCATCTGTCTAGTTTAGCTGGGGGAATAATGAAGCATCTTGAAACTTACGCCTCTAAAAATCGGTACTTGATTTTCAATATCGAATGCAGAGCATTAATGTAACGCGCGAATATGAGTGCACGAGAAGCCGCACATTTCTCGCTAAGCAATTTTTTAGATGAAAACCCCTCATTGGTCAACTTCGTGGCGTCGTCATCGTTGAATGTACCTTCGTTCTTAGCGAAATCACTGACAATGTAGGAATGGCAGGACGGCTCTCTGTGCTGAGTTTTTGTGAACGCGAGCACCGTGACTTCCACTGCACTTTGCCCGCACTCTATTCACTGAGAGGAAGACAGGCCGGGGCTAGTGCCGATCATCTTGTCATTCTTACGGCGTATATAGCCGATAAGAATGCCAAAGAAAAAATCACGAAATGAAAAGTGTGAACATAATAAGCGACGCCTTGCGTTTCTTAAGCAGTCAATGTCTGTAGAGCCCTGTTTTCAAGCTCAATGTCCCCTAGGCGAGCACAGGGGAACAGTCGGAGGATCGCATATATCGATTGCTTTCGGGCCGTATACCCAAAGCTTGCTTCGGAGTCGCAGAAATTGTCCAAGCCTGGTCAGAGCTGCTGCTGATTTCGTT